TAAAAATTTAAAATAAATTCAAGAACTTACTACAAAGTTTTGTCCTGATCAACCCCCTTTTAGACATGCGATGGTTATTTTCCATAAGTGGTTACGATTTTACACTTTGGAGATAAGTCTAATTGTAAAACTATTTTCTCTTTATGTAATCAATGATTTGATAATCACAAATGGTTTTTCACAGATCATCCTCTATAAAAAAATATTAACTTGAAGTGAAAAAATACAATAATACCCTTAACAAATGTATGAAAATTTATTTAAATAAAAATACTCAATAAATATTATGTAAAAAAAATCAATTATTACTTATTTATTATATAAAATTATATTATTAAACTTTATATAAAAGTTAACCTGAATAACAAATCCAGGTATAGGGAGTTAGTTTTTTCTTTTTCTTTTTTTTCTTTTTTCTTATTGGATGAACTGTAAAACAACTATAATCTCTATAATAATTGATCTTGTTATTTATCTTTTTTTTTTAACAAAAGATCTCAATTACTTTTTTTTTTTTGTATGAACATTAGAATATTGTGGCTTGCATGCAGACAAATCCATAACCACGCACGTGAACCGTGTACCCGCACCTACGTTTTTAGGATTCACGATGCCATGTGCTGCATTTTGGCTGTGGTTTGTCAAAAAAGTAGGGGACAATTTTGTGGATGGTTTTGCCTTTAAATGGTTGGTTGATTCTTTTTTTAATGGTTGAATTGAATCCCTTGTATTGCAAGCTGCGGTAGGCTGGTTGCTGGAAATGACTTGAATTTGAATCAGACAACAAGGAACTTGTCCAATTAGTTAACAAGAATGCTAATTTGCCTAGGTAGATTAAACCTTTGATGCTGTCTACTATTTTTTTTTTTTTTGTGAATTTAATTATATTTCTAGGAAGGCTAATTCTGTATTGGATTGGGAGGCAAAACTCTGTCTCAAAGATATGTGGTCTTTCAATTGGGGTCATTGCACTGCAAGGCTCTGTACTCTTTTCTAATGATCAATGGAAATTCCTTTTTTTTTTTTTTTAAATGAAAAATTTGGAGATAAATAACTTGACCTAATGAGCAAATTCGGTCAATATAAATTCTCGTTGATATAACAATACAAGTTTTTATGGTTGTTCAAAAAAACAATGTTGTTATAAACAGTGGCGGAGCCAGGGGGTGTGAGGGGGGCGCTCGTCCCATTGAAATTTGAAAATTTTACAAATTAGTATATAATTAGTATATAAAAAATTATTTAAACCCCTCTAAACTTTGAAAATTTTAGCATCTTGCCCCCTTAAAGAAAATTTCTGCCTCCGCCCTGGTTATAAATATAAAGATTTAGTTGGAACTTGGAATTGGTGCATCTCCAAAAGTTTGAAACTTATTCAATAAGGCAGCATTCAATAAGGCACCCGGTTGTTAGCTCATTTCATTAGTGGTGCGTGCCTCCAGGTCAGTGAGCTACATTCGATTCTCTCCTCTCCACACAAACTCTCTTGTTCTTTTTTTCTTATTTTTTTTAAAATAATTATTCTTATTTTTATTTTTTGTGAGACGGAGGAGTGACATTAATAAATAAAGAGAGGTACAGACTAAGTTACGCTATGATAATAGTTCTTTGAACAACTGTTCTCCTCAAACTATAGAAATAGAACCATATGGCTCATCCAAGAAGGAAAGGCATCATTGTTGATTATATATATATATATATATATATTTTAACATGAGAAATTACGAGAGATAATGAAATCTTTCAAATAGTTACAGAGAATTGAACTCTCAACTAATTAAATCTAAACATTAAAATTTAAAAATAAACATTTTGACTTGAAAGTTTGGTTCAATTCTGATTCTTATTTTATCATCACCATTATCAAATTAATTAATACACCATAGAAAATTAATTCTATATAGGTTTTACGGCTCTTAGCTACATTTCGTCCTCCCCAACCCATGTATTACCATTTTAATTGCTAAAAAAATTTGTTTTCTTTTTATATATATATATTTAATGATGAATTATATAAATATGAAATAATCATCCTGTTCTATAGTTCTTTCCACTCGAACTCAAAATCTCAAAAAAATAAATTTACTACTACTAAGCTCAGTGGAACGTCTGCATACATTTCACACTACTGTTCTCATCTTATTTTAGTGCCTACTTTATACCCCCTTTCCTCTCCCTCACATACAATAATAATAATTCTGTTGAAAATTGAGAAAAGTGATTTTTTTGGTAAGATTTGGTGGTTGGAGAAGCATCTCCTGCTTCATCCATTCACCATCATTAGCACTTAATGACCCCAAACTTTGCTTGATTAATCTTCAGAAAATGTCAACCAAATCAATTTCCACCTTCTAGGGTTTATTTGCTTTTCACTAAAGAATGAAAGTTTTTGAAGGATAATAATTCCCCTATCAACTACATATTCCCTCAAAGTCCAAAGAATCGAGATTTTAGCCATGTATCATCCACCAACAAGAGATTATTTAGAGAAAATAGAAATAGAAAACAGGAAGAAAAGAGATGCAGCAAACACTTAAAATTAAAGTGATTCCCTTTCTTGGGATAAATAAAGTTGATTCGATCAGATTCCGCATGGAGCAAGTAGTTTCACATGAAAAAGAGACAACTCAGGCAAGAGTTTGAGAAGGAACAAAAAAGGAAAGAATAGGAAGACACATCAATGACATAAGATCAACAAAACTGTATTACCCCAGGAATATAAGTAAGAAAGCAATAATCCAAACAAAAGTTTGGAGTTTACCGAAGCTTCAGGATCGAAGATGAGATTAATAGATTCATCAAAATTCTCTAATGAATCAATTTTCCAACATAAAACTGAGATCTGAACTCAAAAAAGAAGCATCATAATATATCATGGAGAAGGTGAAGACACAAGCAAAGTGAAGGAAACATAAGATGATTCATACATTATTCATATGCACACTGGAAAAACTATCATAATACAAAAGAAAATCTAGAGTAGAATAAAGCAGGCAGCTTCTAAGCAGCATGTAGAGTCCAAACCTCGAAGTCAGTCATGCCAGCAGAGAAGCATGATAATACATCTTCTTATTATGTAAAGCCTACTTCTCTCTTCTCTAAGGAACCCTCCAATTCCCTTGCATGGGAACTTCCTCTTAGACCCTCCAATTGTAGAACTCTTCATCTTCATCTCTCTGCTGATCGATATTTTAATTAGGATTTGATTACTTCCTCTTCTTTTCCACCCTTCTCTCTTTTGACTCGTGGGTGGCTTCAGATTTTCAGTAAACCTTCTTGCTCTAAGTTCGTACAGCACTAAGTGGATCAATCTTGGGGGTTTGGATGAGAAGTTGTTTACCCTAGTAAATGATTGAGCTTTGCATGGAAAGAGCAACAAGAGGAGGGGTTTTCTTATAGGGCAAAGTGGGAATGATCCAGGCCCCACATGGGTCAACTAAAAGAACCAAGTGGGGCTCATCAAAAGGGATATAAAACGTCTCTATTCTCACCAGTCTTTGCACTTTGGACCCCAGTTGATCACTGGCAAGCAATATACTCATTATCAAGAGTAGAATGTGTTAGAAACCAAACAAAATTCCCTGTCTATTGCCATGCTTACATGCGTGTGACATTTGTAACCAAGCTAAGGACGTTTCCCTGGTCTTCCTTTATCCATTTAATATATTTCTCTTCTTCCTTTTCATCATTTCGCCCTGTTTATTGTGTGTTAGGGAGGAAAAGGAAAGGTGTGTGATCAAAATTGGGCAGAAATGCCCTCATTATTGGCACTTCTACACACGAGTGGACTAGACTTTAAATGGACTCAAGACCACAAGTGGAGGTTTGTGGCCTAAAACATCCAATTCAATTCATGTTCTTTATTGATTCACAAACTCAAACCTTGACGGATTAACATAGCTGTTTAATCCAAAAACCATTTATTGTTTTTTTTTCCTGGTCAATAGAGAGGGGGCCCAAAGTGTATTCTGTAAAGAGCACATGCAGTAGAAAAGAAATGGCTGTGTGTTACCGACAAATCAATGGTACACGTGATGTTCACACGACAGACATGGTTAGTGTCAGTGATCTGGGAGAACAACCAAAGTTTATGACAGGATTTTGAACCACATTTTCTCATCAGTTAAGCATCACCTCTACCTCTGCAAGGTGCCTTCTCATGATAGACCTTAGCAAACCTTTTCCCTTAATGTTTTAAGGGTTCTCAATCTAGTGGCTTCCCACTATTTTGCTCCCTCATTTCATTATTTTTTGAAGTACCAATTGCCGAAGCAGGCTGCACGGTACTGATTTACAAGACAGTTCCTTTTCTACCCTAACCACTAATCATTTGAAACTATTGAGCTACTATACAATGAAATGAAACCAGTGAGGAAGAATTAGAAGATAAATGAATATACAACCAACCTAAAAAACTAAAACTAAAACAAGCTACAATGATTATGATGATGATTAATGAATAATAGTACATTACTCTATAGGACATGATAAAATGAGAAGATACCACCTAAAAATCAAGTAACAAATTTTTACCTACAGCTATTCGCACATGGATATATGCTATGTGATGAACAAAGACAAATATACTCTGATAGGAGACAGTTTTCAAGAAATGATGTAATATCTTGTGAGCTATAAGCACACTATACCTGTGATGTTTGTGTTAGAGAACCTATAGTCTTTAACTTGCACAGACATGACACTGTGTCTTTACCATTTGAATTTTCTTGGTCCTATCCACTGCATGTCGAAGGCCTGTTGCACTCCTCCTAGGCAGTAATTAAATAGTAAAACTTTTAATGAAGCCTGTACCCCACCTGAAAGTGAAAGTGACAAAACCAAGATATGGTTAGTGATGTTTATACAGAAGTTTTAGTGAGGATCAAGCCCGACCCCTACCAAGAACTGACAAATTTTAGAAAAATTTACAGGAGATTAGCTTGAACAGAAATCAGAAAACTGTTTTTTTTTCTACGTCCGAGCCAATAATCTATAATGCTTATGCAACAAACTACTAAATACTAAATCAAAAGTTTGACAGATCTTTCTTCAAGTGTTACAAAATAACCAAATTGCTTTTCTGTTGCAAGGAATAGGTTCTGCATCACTGCTAAAGTTCTACAGCTCCCTACATTTCATAGCTTTACTTTGAAAGGTTCTACGGAGGAAAAGGACGAAAGTAGCTAAACCTTTAATGCAGTGCAGTATAACTGTTCTAAGCATTCAGTACAGTCAATGCCCACTACAGATAATTGCATAAGAGCCTGACCACAGAGTGTCTATATAACACACGCAATTTGTCAAGATTGCAAGAGTACTTAAGTATGAGCTAAAAAATACTGTGATGATGCCATTTCTGCTACAGTGCTACAAACCATGCTTTAGTAAGCGAATCATAATATAAATGGAAACCAACACTTGGTGTGAAAATGAAAACGAACCCCATGATTCCAGAATAATTCACAGAAGTGAATGGGCTATGTATATTGGGTCATAACTTGTAGAAACACAAGAAAACATGCAGCTGTCTTAATCTATGTGGAGCCTAGGCGTTTTCTGGCCACATATGGAATCAAAATGAAAAATCATATGCACCATACTTGATGCTACATTGGGAGCCACTAAATCTGTTTAAACATCAAAAAGTAATTTCTAGCTGGATCACCTTCTTATCTCCTCTTGGTGTGGTAAAACTGCAGTACTATTATGAATCAGCTACCTAAAATGATTTCAGTATCTGCTACCATGTATCATATACTTCCAAAAGACTATAAAAGTCTGACAAGCACAAGAACTGTTGTACTCCATAAATGGGAAAATGAAAAAAGTCAAGAATCCCCTTCTCACAACGCAGGGGAAAGCAACATGAAAATCCAACAAGAAATAAATTGCTAATGGGATTTTTCATTTAAGAAGTTTTTGGATAGCTAAGCTTGTAATCATCAATATTTCATACAAAGCGTCAGGCCACTGTTAACTCGGACGATAACTGATGGACAATTCAATAAAAAAATATAGATCCTTTATTTTTATTTTCCCAACAAGCATACACAAGAGTTTAAGTTGAGGTCAATCATGATTTGTGTGTGTGTACATTCCAACTATCTACTATTTCCTTTGAGATGCTTCATTATGACCTCAACACATACCTTGGAAGTAACCCACAGCCACTGTATCCAGAAGCAGAGAATCTACAACTCCCCTTATGCCTTTAAATTCTAAAACTGTATAACAACCATTGTAAATGTATCAAGGGCAATTGGGGTTAGTGCGTGTTTGTGCATGTCCGAGAGAGAGAGCAGGAGCTATGATGCATCGAAATTCTGGCATGGAATAAGCAGCGAAAAGAACCACAGACACAAAAGCCTTTCCCCATCGAAGTATATCAGTTCAGATGCGACAGGAAAGGAGAATTATACAAACACAAACAGAAGTATATTTCAAGAAACCCCATAAAATAAGATATAAACTAAGTAATACATTACCTTCTGAGTTATTAAAAGTAAAAGAAAATAAAAAATAAAAAATAAAAAGTGAAAGAAAGGGCATTGTATCAAATGATTAATATTAAGTGAAACATGCTGATTATGCACAAGAAACTCCTCTAAAAACTGCAATAACGTTACCAGAGTTAGAACTATAAAGATCTCCAATAACTCCTCCACAACTGCTGACATTGAATTTCTTCAATAACTCCTCTTCGGCCAACAAAGCAACCAATTCATCATTTTCTCTCTTGTCAATGCTCCTCTGAAATTCCTAGGCAGAGCATGGTAAACCTTTCCCGGAACATCAAGAAAAGTTGAGTAAATAATATCTGCATTATCTTTGCTGATCAAAAAAAAAAAAAAAAAAATCTGCATTATGCACTAATTGAGCCAAAAATAACAACTTTTTACTTCTTGAATTTTTTAGGAAATGCTTTTCTGATCTTTTGTGCATTGCTAATGAGCACATCAAGCACATCAGATTTTAGTTGTTGATAAAGTGATTTCTTATCTTTGTTTCATGAAAATCAGAAAATAACATTTGAGAAAAGCAGAAGGTCAATTAATTTTACCGTTTTTCATCGATTATCTTATGCAATTCATCCTGTTTTCTGAGATCGCATAACTGCTTCTCCAATCAACTAAAGAAGAGAAGAATTTTTGCCGTTCAAAAAAAAAAAAAAAAAAAAAAAAAAAACTAAAGAAGAGAAGAAATAAACTGAGAGATTGGAAAGGAAAATCACTAAATCACAGACATATCTGAAATTTCAATATATATATATATATATATATCAATTCTTGCAAATATCGGAAGTTACCGGTAACGGATATCAATCCAGTGATCTCAAACGGCCAAAGCGCCCTCGATCTCCTCGGACCTGACGACCTCCGATTCTATCTCTCAAGTTACCTGAATATTGGCTTCGATTTCTTTGTCGACCTAGTTGTTTACGATTCAAAGATCAATTTTCGGAGTAAAAATTAACGGATAGTGAGGAATCGGGAAGGAAAGAGTAGGTTTGAATAAATTGAGTGAAGGAGGAAAGATTCCAGAGGAAGTAAACATGATTGATTATGTCCTTGAGACATGAGATCTGGCTGAGAATCGATCCTGAATCCTCCATTCTGTGCCTCTGTGATTTTGTTTCTGTTCCTCTTTTATGATTTCCCGCTCTTTTTTCATTTTCAGTTTTTGGACTCTTTTCTCAGGAAGAGGAAACCGATAGTTTTTATTTGAAAAATGAAAAATTAAGATATTTTGATATTAAAAATGTCAAATGTCAAAATAAATAAATTTAAGGATAGACAACATTATGCCCTTGTATATTTAATAAATGTGATGGAGTATTTTTAATGTTGGAATATTTTTAATTTATTTTTCTTTTTTGTTTTTGGAAGAGAAATAATATAATAGTAATTAAAAAAATTATCCCCATAATCTGAAATTTACAAGTGTTTTGCAATCTCTTTTTGTTAAAAGTAAAATTTTAAATTAGAGTCGCATAGCATGTATGCGAAATAAGATAAGTGATGAAAAATAATTCATTTGATTGTGCAAGTAACTAGCGTTTTGCAATTAATGTCTTCAAGTTTATTGGTTATCAATTGGTTCTCTAACTTTTTAGTCTTAGAACTTGACAAAACACAACTGCCGGACTTGAATGGAGCCATTAATCATCGGTGAAACGGTTAAAGAAGCTAATTTATCATCTATCAATTAACTTCTAGTTTTTGAAAATTAACATTATAGAGTTTGATTTTACATTTTTTAATGTTTAGGGAGTTTTGAATTTTGATATTAACCTCAAATTAGAGTTTTATAATTAGTGATACTTAAGTAGATGTTAAATTCAGCAATTGAAAGTATCAACCATTGATTAGATACGATTCTTTTTTCTCTTCTTTTTTTTTTTTTAATACATGTTGAGTAATATAATCTTAAGAAGAGAAATGATATTCCTTGCTATATTTAAAAAAGGTTCTTCGATATAAGAATTTAAAGTTCCATCTGCAGTTTCATTTTTGGGCCAAAAAAGCCTGCAATTTTATTGTAGAAAATCCAAAAAATAGATTACTTATCATAAAAGAGTTGGGAGGTAAAGGTTGGATTTTCCTTGACATTCACCTCCTGGGAAAGGTAATTGGTAAAGAGAGAAACAATATTCTGTTATGACTTAAGAGTCATGACATTTTGCTTCCATGTGAATCTTTTCTGATGAAAAACACATATCTTCCACCACAAACTGAATCAACATCAAAACTTTAATCCCCAATTACCCTCTTCCAAATAAAAAAGAAACAACATGCATCATGAGTAGATGAAGATGAAGTGAGATTCATCCAATGGAATTCCCTTTTCAAAACTCACTTTAAGCAAATCAGTTATCACTTCTCAGTATCAGCATCACATGTCGACTCCAATGCAGATTATCCTATCAGTCCTATGCAATGCCTATGGACCCCAATGCAGTAAAACACTTCAATTAACAACAGAAGGGAATGCTCAAGTATCCAGACCCTAATTATGATGCAACTACTCTCATATCCACACAGATTGTCTAAACATTGCCAGTGATCCATGGTTTATTAGGTGACTTTTATAAAACTGAAGGAACAAACCAACCCGACCACAAGATATTAACCAATATAAGAATTCATAGATTGAACACAAGTTAAAAGCTAAACTAGACAGAAGAGGAACATATGAGTGCCTAGCTCTGAGTAACAGAGATACAGAGTAGGAGGAATTTGAGTCCCGCATTAACTATGGTATTTCCAAAAAAACAACAGATACACAATACCAAACTCAACAAAACTGGCAGTGCATGTTACAAATGGGCTTTCAAAATTATAATAATCCAAATAGAACAAACAAAGTTGAGAACTTTATCCCCATCAAACCCCATTTTGACCAAATTCACTACAAGTACAGAAGCAACCACTGATCAGCTACGAGGGGCAACTTACAATCTTGTGTTAAACTGGAAGTAGTGCTTCATTTTTTGAGTACATCCAATCTGATGATGGGTTATAGTGCTATACTACTGAATAGCCCTCCCCTTTCCTAAATCCCTCCCATTCATCTCAAGTTTCAAACTAAGAGTTCTTTCTAGTTGAGAGCTAGGATCGATTCATTGCTGTACCACACATACCATTAAAAATAAATAAATCTTGAGGAGTGAAAGAAATATACCCAATTTATTAGGGGAACAAGGGAAAATGTTACTAACGCTAAAAAAGCTAGACAGATTCTTCAAGTTCATTCAACTTCTCCTTCTTCTTCAATTCATTCTCGTATTTTCTCAATCTCTCCTTCATTTTCTCCTGTTCGATTGAAGAAGAAGAAGAAGAAAAAAAAAAAATTAAGTCCATATGTTTAAAGTTCATTACAAAATAATCAAATAAAATGAGACCCAGTTACAGGGAAAGTACAAAAAGAGTGGAGAAAGGAGGAAATTTTATGAATTTTGTTCTAATTGCTGTGTTTTCTCAGAAACCAAGCCAAACAAAAGTGGAAGGGAAAGATGAGGTGAAAAGAGCTGACCTTGTAGCTGATTTCGACTCGGTGCATCACGTAGAAGCCGAGAACGCCGCCGAGAATGGTGCCAGTTATGATCCGAACATAGCCCCATTTCACTGAATTCATCGCCATTTTCTCGCTCTCGTTTTGCACCGATTTTCTGTATCCGACTGCTCGAAATGGATCTTCCCGGTTAGCTCCCAATTCCTAAATCAAATATTATTAGGGTTTATCTGCTACAGTTTTGACGTCTCCGTTAACTGGGGCTTGTTTTATGTTTATTATTGGGCTAATTTGATATTTTATAAAATTCACAAGCCGAACCACATAGTCTTTTGGCTCTTCTTTTATTTTTCCTCTTTATTTATTTATTTCGAAAAAAGACATATATATATATATATATACATTGTTTTTAAGTGCAATATGTATAACATGATATACTTAAGTGTAATTTTATATGTATTTTTTTATTTAATAATGTTATTATATTTTAAAAATTATTGTGATTACAAACATTTTACACATATTATTGCCATTTTTTAAATTATTATTAAAATAGTAAAGAATTAAAAAATAGGGAAAATTGTGGTTTGGGGGACAGCCGGAGGGGGGAGGCGTATTTAAACCCCAAATTATAAAGGTGCACTTCAACACTCAGGTGATTCGAAAATTTATACTTTACTCTTAAAATCATTAAAATGTGCTCTTAAACTCCATGTAGTTTTAGAAAATCTGCACTGAACCCCCGAATTGATAGATTAGTCAGTAAAACAATGTCGGCAACAGATGTGAAAGACAGTCAAAAGTTTCTCAGGCAAATGATTGCAATCTTTGATATTGGGAGTAACAATTCCACGCCAGAGAATGCTATTAGGTAATTTCTGAGAACATGAAATTTCTCTAATAGGCAAACAAACAAAAGTTTCAACCCTGTTACAGTGTTACATCCTACAAAGCGCCAATCAATGAGCAATCTCCCATCTTGCTCCCGAAAGAGAAAATTTATAGGGAACATGAGACATGTTTACTCTCGCTCTATGCTAATTACACGGATGTAATTATGTACAACAACATTGCATCTAAAGATAGATCAAACCCATGTCAAATCCAAAAGCCAGAACTTCACCTGCTAGAGGCTTTGCTGCCCTTTCTTTTTCAACTTTACAGTCTTGTTGCTAGATTGATGCTTTGGAGCAGGCTCCACAAGAAGCAGGCAGGACATTAGATATGCCAAGAGTTCTTCATGGTGGGCGAAAGTGAAGTCCAAGTGTGCGTACTCGAATTCATTATATGATACGTCCACACCTGAATCCCTCATCAACTTGTAGTGCTTTCTTACCATTGAAGGTCGAATTACCTGATCCTTCTGACCCGCGACCAGATCAACAGGAATATCAATTAGTCCATAGTATTCACCCAAGTCTAAGGGCTCTGGAGATCCATACAACTCCATGTTGACTGATGCACTCCCATAATCATACATTCTAAATCGTCTGGATCTTTTTATTTGTGCAAGGTGGTGAGCCACACGAAGAGAAACTCCTGGCATATCATTCATGTTATAGTGAGGTAAGCCTATCACGCCAACCCAATTTGAACTGTCTCCACCTGCAACATAACCGATTAGTGTTTGAACTAGTCCTCCAACTGCAGGATAATTATGGAAGTCCCTTGCCAACTTGTTAAACAGCATGCGGAAGAATCTGGTTGGAATATAAAAGGCAGGCACAAGCGGTGCCATACTAGGAGCTAAAAGACACAACAGATACTCTATTGCTGTAAAGACTATAGTAGAATCCTCATGGAAGCCTGCAGGCGATAGCAAAATTAATCTTGAGAGCCTGTGGGGTTTCTCTTCAATCTGGCACGTTATAACATACATTAATACAGCAGCCCCTCCCAAGCTATGGCAGATAGCACAGAGTTTGTAAGGTTGTTCATGGCTTGTTTCTTCATCAGGATTGCTAATTTTCAATTCAGCAGTTTTGACCTCATGGATCTTCTCTAGCATGGCTGGAATATCCTCAGTCCCATGCTCATTGATGGAATACCGCCAGTATCTGCAATGCAGCACCATCCTTTATCAAACTTGAATATGGCTTCCATGTTCCATTGATTGGCAATAATGACCAGAAAAAGACAATTAAAAATCTTTGTTGAAACTATGACCATGTTTCTAGGATCACATTAGTCACAAGAAAGGAGAAGTCATGATGAAATATCCCCCCTTGTTTCAATTTTAATTTCTATGCAATGCAACAAATCAGAAGTTATTGAAAGGAAGATTATATGTCTTCTTACCGTTGCGATGAAATTTTCTTGTCCACATGTTCCCGAGAAACGAAACCACGAAAATTCCCAAGGAAAACATCATACCCTGCATAAAGTGACATCATCTTTAAACTGCAATCTACGTGCCATGAGATATGGGAAGTACAAAAGCCACTAAAGGATACACAATGAACCTTGATCATAGGCAGCAAAAGCCGGAGACCCAACAACACCATTAGAAACCCAACTGAACAACGGAATAAATTCATAAGAATAAACATATAGACTGAAAAAAAAAATGAAGGGAAAATAAGGAAATTAAATGGCATTAAAAATTGATGGCAGATCAGTTGCAAAATTGACTGAGAAGAAATCAGTTGCAAAATCCACCGAGAAAAACAACATATCATGGATTTGTCAAGAAAAACAACATATCATGAATTAGAATCATGATTGAATGCAACCTGACACTCACTGGAGCAAATCAGGTTCGAAATTTACTGAGAAGAAACCAGAACCAGACAAAAACTCTATAAGAAATCATGCAGCTTGTCAGATGATGTAAGTAACAAAACGACCAAGCAGAAGAAGAAACCAAGTTTTAAGGTTTTTCTGATATATTGTCATCATAGGTAATCAAAATAGGTCTTCCCACAAGAGCAAGACATCAAGCGCTGCTTCCACCAACTCATACCAAGACTCCTCAACCTCAAACAATGATATGTCATGAGCAGAAGATAGACTACCACTCACCACATAGATGAATCAAAAATTCCATGCTGTAGGTAAACTGCTTTTCGAGCATCACGTCTGCAAAATTAAACTAGAAGTGTCAATAACCACACATTCAAACAAGAGTGACAAATTGAAAAATCTCAAATCTGAAAGAAAATTAAAAATGGTACCTAGGAATTCTTTCCAAATGAAGAACGTATCCATCAGAAGTGATGACATGAATAGCTTCATATGGGTACCTAAGACAGGTGTAGTAGTAAAAAACAAGAATATCAAAAGCATAATTCCAATGGCAGAAAAATAAGAGAAGTTGAAGGCATCACTATCCTTACCCCATCTCTGTAATGACATCCTGACATGTCCTAGCATCTGTATTGAGTGACTGGTAAATAGTCATTTTCCTTTCTGTAACAGCAGGATCATCTGATCCAAGAGTGGTACTAGTGACATAAGCATCAGAAACACCAGGGTGAACATCTTTAACATCACTTCTCAGAGATGTAAACCATCCGTGGATTATTTTGAATGCCTCTGTTGGGGAAAGTAGAAAATAAGCAGCCTTGTGAAACATGTCAAATATAGCTTCAATGAAAATCTCAATAGCCAGATGAAGATCCTGATCAAGATAGAACCAAAACAGGTAAAGAAAGGTAGTTAGAACCAATGGAGTAAAATAAGAGTGAATGGAAATGCAAAAGGTGATAAAATGTCATTGCAGAAACCTCAATGACTCCACGTCTCCTGTCAGTGGTACGGTAAACAACGTGGTCCTTGGGGGCATGAGGTTTCTTGATAGAATGAAAATGCAAAGGCCTGGGGCTTCGTGGAGTAGCTGGAGCCCTTGATTGTCTCATATAAGATACATGGAAAAGATGAAATGGTACCCCAAAGAGAAACTTAGCGGGTAGGAGTATCCAAGAAAATATGTATGCAATCCAGTCAGTCCAATGCCAGCTGCAGTTACCCTGGGTGCTAGTTCTGGAGACTCGTGAACTTTGAGATGTTGGTGATAGGGGGTATATTCCATCATGGTCATCTTCTTCTCCAGAAGAATAATCCACACTAGAAGTATCAGAATCCACAGAAAGCTCATGGATGAACTGGTTGAATGACGAAGCACCTCTATTGTCAACAGCAAAAAGCAGTAATATTACCAACAAAAATTTGAAAAATAAGAAAATTACACACAAAATGCTGGTACATCATGATGTGAAGCAAATTCATGAGCAAAGGAGAGGCTTGGGGGATGTGGTGGCAGGAATTTCTAGATTTTATATTTTAGGAGAACTTACATTAGCCAAAGGTCCAAACAAATTTCCTTCTACCTTGTCTACAGGTGTAAAATGCCAAGCAGATTCACATTTCATTAAATCAAAACTTACTTTTCCATCCAGCGTGGAAATCGAGGTCCACGAAAAGTAGGCCTGAGCTCCCAGCCATGGAAACCTTCAAGAATATTTGCCTTTCCTGGCAAAATGGTCAATAGAAGTGCTGATAACCCATTGATAAATCTCACGATGTTGTTCAAAGACTCAAAAGTGAAGGTCTTTACTGATCTGCACAACAAAATAGAAGGATTCCTCATTAATTAACACACCAAAGAATTTGGAATTTGGAATTCTTTCAAGTAACTTCTTCTTTTTCTTATTTATTTCCCTTCAAGTTGCTACTGAGAAAGGAGCTAAACTAGAGGCTAAACTAGACCCTTCTGTTTAAACCATTATCTTAGTACAGAACCACAATAAAACTACAGATTCTAGTTGATTCAGCTCAGTTATTAAAAATTGGAAATTTTAGGACCATGTTAAGCCTATTCAACAGAAACCCTCAACAAATGCCGTTATCAACTTGAGCTATCATAATCCCCATATACAAAGGAGTAAAACTTCCACATTTCCCCCATAGCATTTTTAAGATAATGTCACAAAGTCCACATAAAAGTTACACAAGTCCTTATTATTGCAGATCATCCGGACTTCAAAGATTTCCTTCCAAACTAAAATCAGAAACAAATTACCAACAAACCTCTTTAGCAAATCAATGACACAAAATCACAATATTCCATAACCAGTTGTTAAAAGCAAAGCCTTTTTCAGCCTTTCCTTTCAAAAGTTTAGAATTGAAATAGATTTTGCTATTTGAATATTGCCCAAGGAAGGAATTAAATTTGTCCAACACCAAATCCCAGAAAACAGCAAGCTTTAACCTCGTTCAATTTGATGGAATTCCAATCAAATAAATATCTTAAAGATGACACCAACCAACCAAAATCATCCCAAATAAAAATCCTGAAACTCATAAAACACGAAAATCCCAAATCAGTAAACAAAAATACCTAAATTAAACTGAGTTTATATTCCCAAACACCAATCACATTAAAAACAAAAATCTGGCTGGAGGAAAAACGAAAACCGATCCAAAGAAACGAAATTTGACCAATGCATCACGAATCAATACTATCAAACCAATACAACATACAAGCATGCCTACATGTCCTCATAGCTCGTCCATACGATACATGATAGGTTCAAGATGCTAGAGGGAAAAAGAAAGGAGCAAGAAGATGCAGGGAGGAGCTTACTCTTTGGTAACAGCGAGGACGTTATCAACGGCTCGCTGCATCATTCCGTCGAATTTGATTCCTCCGCAATCAAAACCCAGAGGCTTTCTCTTTCCGAGGATGTGAGTGAAGACCTGTACAGGACGAAGGAATCTGATGAATCCAGTGGCACGCAACGGCGATTCTTGTCGTACACAGGCAGTCGGTTAAATGCCGTGTTTTTTATTTTTTATTTTTTTTGTAACATTGTGTCGGGAGGATGCCACGTAAGTTCGAGAGTTTGGGTTGATGATGACTGCGGGTTTACGGAGGTGAATGAGGGCCGTTAATTGTTGGTAGGCCTTTTTGAGGTGGACGGCTCAGATGGTGTGGGGATTAATTGAGATCTGGTATGGTAGCATACATTGGAAAGTGGATAATTGTCGGTCCCGCCACTGCTGCGACGCGTAGGAAATGTTTTGGAAATATCTGGAGTTACTATCAACATCTCGATCTATATTTATGTTACCTTTTTTAGATGTTATACATTTATTTCACGTCAAAAGAGTTTTCTTTTTTCTTTTTTTTTTTCGTTTTTTTTTTTTTGGTAATTTGTTTACATGAAAGCTTCTTACACTTTTTGCTATTTTGCATTTAAAAATATCAATTCCATATAAAAACTACAAAAACTTTCTTTTGACTGGAAAATAATACTTCGATTTGTTTTATAAAAAATAGTTTTTTTAGTAGTTACATTAGAGTGTATTGGGTTAATTTTTATGTAACTTGAGATAAATAAATTAATTGTACAATACTCAATTTAAAATTAGTTTACAAATAATTATAATAAGTTACATTTGTTATTTTAAAAGCAAAATTTTATGTAAATGTGATTATTTATAAGTATTAATAAGATTAATTGAATCAAATATTGGAATATTAATGTTATCAAATCCATATATATATATAAATAAAAGAGACAAATTTGCAGGCCCCGAACTTAGGAATTTCAAGATGTTTGCCTTAACAGGTAAAATCTTCAATTGGCACACATCATGTCAGCAAACATTTTATGTTGATCAAGAGATGTCATCCACAGATGCTGGGGTGTCTTCGGTCTTGTTCCTGGTATCTTCTTTGAATGCAAATTCAGAAACCAATGCCATGTGATCACTTCCGACTTGCTGTATGATAAAGAGAAACCGCAGTTAGGAAGACATAGATGGTACATATTGGCTTTAGGACTCCAGAAACCCCGCCGTGCAATTAGAAAACTACTATGCTTTTAATGTCAAAAAAAAAAAAAAAGGGAAAAAAAATGCAGCTTGAGAAAAATAACCCTATTCAACAGCAATCATTGAGAAGTTTTCTGACTGCAGAGCTTTATTTGGAAGTCTAACTTTCCATTGTTCTTACCTTGCAAGGAAGGCCGCCAGTCCTCTTGAGAATATCAATTGGAAGAGTATCCAAAACTCTGGTGGGCACAAGACATTCGGAATACCTTTACCAAGTAGATAAGTCTTAGAAAACTTTTGTCATTATGAGTTATGACCCACCCCAACAAAATAATTGCAAGTATAACTTTTCAGAATGCATTTTACCAGATATAGTCAACAGTTCCAAAAAACTTTGAGTGGTAGGAGGTAGCTAAAGGTTCACCATTGTAGTCCCTTGTATTTGTAGTACCCTGAAAATTGACTAATACTGTTACTATGATAGATTTCTCAAATAACTCAGCAACTCAAAAGGTGGGAGATCAAATTACTCAAGCATGTGCATCTGTTGTCTAATCTAGTGTGTGCGTGTGTGCGTGTGCGCAAATGATGTGTGTTTCCATACCTTCACTGTGGCGTAGGAGCTACACAGCTTTAATGGGTGCACAACTAAATGGCAATCAGAACTTCCCGTTGCTACTTTAACCTCTTCATCTCTCCATCCATTCTTCAATAGTCTAAAAATAAAGGATCATCCAAGAAAATATGCAGCAACGTTGAAGTGACCATTTGAGAAAATCACCTCAGCAGGTCTCTTATTTATGTATGAATAATGTTTATATTCTATGAATAGGAAAGGAGCCAACATTAAAGATTAGCTTACAATCAGATTGAACACTCGTTCCAACAAGTCCCCTCCCCATTTTTATCATGTCGCAAAATTAGTTTCTTATTCAAAAGTTATTTATCTTTTCATTGTCTCACATTGCCCTTCATTTCAACTTTTGAGTAAAGCACGAACAGTTTGAAAAGGGAATTTCTGAAAAGTTACCACACCCATGATAATAAAGAATTAGATGTTTCAGTGGTTTACAAGATATTACTACTAAATTAAAGAAAAATATAAAACCAAAAGTAACTTTAGGGCACAAAACTCTAATAATCGAGAATGCAGATTCAAAAAGTCAATGTTGATGGAAAGAATAAAGGTAAAATGTCAACCTTATACAAATTCCTCAATTATTAGAAATGTTAGTAACTTCCTATGTCTTCATGTAGACATGAAACCAAAGAAAACCTAGCAGAAAACAAGAAAAACAGCAAACTAGTAATGGTGGACAGAGAAGATGAGAAGATGAGAGAGAACTAAATGAGTTTTTACACACTGAAACTCCATTCTCCAATACAAGCATTTCAAATTTGCAACCAGTGAAAACCTCATTGAAAAGATGATTTGGTTGGCATTCACAATAAAATAGTTTCACACCCTGATTGATGGACAGATGTAGCAAGTCAGGAGTTCATGGCAAAAGATTGTGTTCATGTACCTATAGTTATTCCTAGAAAATGAGGCATCAGCATGGAAATGGAAAACTACCTGTCCATTACAATAAAGGGACTGCTCCATTCTCTTTTTTCACCGAAAACTTGAGCAGGATGGCAACTTCTCTGACCAGATAGCTCTCGTCTGTCATATAACTTGATATTAAGCTGCCAATAGAAACATTATAGCATAGTTTAAATATTAGAATTCTCAATATCAAATTGAAAATAAAGAAGTTATCTTGCGAAATGGCATTCATATAGTTAAAAACTTAATATAGGTTCACCTCTGATGACGTTAAGAACTTGTATATAGCACTCTGTCAATAATAGGGAAAACTGATGTTATATTACAGAAGCTTTTATCACAAAAAAGAGAAGATAACTAGTTATAGAACCATATCTTTTAGATGCAGACCTGAGGAGTGCTATTGAAATCACCCATAAGAACAACAGGTAAATTGCCCCATTTATCTGAGAGAATCTGTGCCCTTGAAGTGAGGAAACGAATCTACAATACCAGATAATTAATTACAAACAAGAGCAGTTATCTCTGAAAAGTGACCTAATACTTTTACATAAACTACAGCCACCACTGTCCTAAAAAGAATGAAAAAGAAGATAATGCAAACAGCCCAGCTTTCTTTAATAGCCATAAGGTTCAAACAAATCTTTGTACCAGAGGTGTCAAAGATCAAAGCAAAGAAAATGAGAGTATGCACTAGAAAAAATGGAAACTCACTGCACTTAATGCAGATATGCTTAACATTGTAGCATGTAGTTTTTTAGCAACATCTGAGATTGTTGATTATTATCTTCTGGAATTATTAGAGAAACAGGAATTATTCACCTGAAAGGAATTATTTGTACAGTAGATCTACTTCTTTAAGAAAGTACATTTAGAAAACATATTTGAGTCACCAAACCCAAGTGCAGTTTTAAAAGACATTGTATTGACTTCAAATGATAACTGCAGACCACTTACTTGGCCTAATTTCACATCTCCTCGGCTCGGGTTATAAAGCACATGAATGTTACCAACAACTAGTCTTTTTGATTCCGCTTTGCACATCTGCCTGTATGTAGTGAAGTCATATATACAATGGATAGAGTTTTCACCTAGAAACAGCATATAAATGCACATAATAATGAACATATTAATAGAGAAGAAGGAAATACAACATTAATCTGATGCAAATCATCATCAGACATATTGTGAACAAATTTTCAGCTGATCATTGGGTGGGCCAGCTGAGAATAGATGGATCTAGTAGTCAAGATGTCAAAATCTTTCTATGTTTTGATTCTTTCTCCTACACCATGAAGTTTTTAACGTTTTCATTAAACATGAAATCCTCTCCTCTCTGCATGGAAATAGTATTGCAATTATGAAGTGGCATTTCAATAAACCATGTTATTACAAGTTAGCTTCAAGTTCAAAGGTACAAACTATTTGTACCAGAAAAAGGTCAACATTTATGCATTCTATTTTTGTAAAAATCTAACAATTATCTTTGGTGCCACCTTACTAGAGTATATTAGGATGAAAATTATTTGATATGATATAAGATAGTAAATAATGAACAGTGACTTAAATTTTCAGATAGCAAAATGGAGCGCCAGGTAGCTGAATACCAGACTATATAAAAGATATTAGAAGACATTTACCTCAAAAACAGAAAGCTGAGCAACATTATCACGAAGACCAAACTCCTTATATTCAATGCTTTCTCTCTCTAATAATCGAAACCTGATCAAATTAATGAACAAAAGAAATTATACACTAACTTCCTAATTCATATACTAAAATGAAAGAAAGTTTAACTGCCTCTCACTTATCAGCTTTCCATAACATGGCACACCCATCAACATTATCTCCAGTACGTCGCTGCCATCATAAGTACTAGATTTAGAATTTTTCTTAAATGGCTCCAACAAATTAACATGACCCGTATAGTATCATACCAACTTCTTTCATAGCTCTCCAAATATATGGAAAATATCAAACTACCAGAGAATGCCTTAAATTGAAAACTAACCTTGTAGGAGCCAGCATATCCTGCTTTTTGCAAGGTGTTCCTTAAATCAAAGAACCTATCCACCTCCTAGAACAATTAAAACTAGCACCCGTAAGCCAGAAGTTGAATTAAAGTTAAATAAAACCACTATAGAAGGACAAAAGAGCTTACTTGCAAACAGATTATATCTGGGTCCAGTCCAATTAATTCTTCACAAATTACCCTTTTCCGGTAGTCCCATTTCATGTAATTTGAAGGAACACTTGGGTATAAATCTTTGTGTTTTGTGGAATTTCTGTCTCCCAATATGTTATATGATGCCACCATAAATCTCTCTAGAGCATAAACAACAGTTATGTTAGATCTAAATCCTAATCCAAGCATCCTCTCATTCTAGAGCTAGAATTTCAACCAAATTTTCAAATTTTGAATTTTCTATCAAAGTTTCTAGTAAGATTATACCTCCGGAAGCTAGCGGTTGATGATCTTCTACCCAGTGGCGGCGGATATCTGGAGAAATCTCTCTTGACGGCGGTCGACGGCGGAGGGGATTGTACCACCACCGGCGACTGTAAGAACTAGTTGATGATGGACTTCTGGGTATGGAAGAAAAAACGCTACCACAGTACTTGACGGAAAAGGAGAAGGGTTGGGACGAGCAGGCCGTGGTTCAGGCGGACACTGGCCATGGGGACCCGCGGGCGGAACCAAGAACAAGCCTCGGCCCCCGTTACAGACGAAGAATTTGTTGAAAGACGAGGATAAACTGAAAAGTACTGTCATTAACCGCCTTTCATTTAGTAGTTGTTTGGCGCCACTCATTTTAAGATTTTAGTACTATTTATTTATCAAAAATTATTTTCCTAACATAATTTTTATAGTCTACACTGCATAAAAAAAAGCCTGTAAATTATGAAAATATTTAAATATTTACATTAAATAAAATTTATTAAGAATGTTTTGATATTTCCACAACCTTATATACACGTAAAACACCATTTCACTTTTCAAGTTTCTTTACTCTTAAATCTATATAAAATAATTAAATGAATAAATTTGAGTTTTTTGATGTTCAAATTTGAGTTTTAATTGATAAGAAAAATGGAGTTTTAATTCCAATACTCAATTTTGAAGACTTGTAATTAATAAATTGTTGTCACTATTACTTTTTAGTGAAAGTATGTAAGTATTAATCTGAAGGGTGCGAGAATCCAACCAAATGTCGTAAGAATAACCCATCCGGAAAGATAGTGTTTGAACTTAGTCTTTTTGTTTTAGCTAGTCTTCTTGAAAAGTTGGTTTTATTTTCTTTGTTGGGTGTTCTACCCTCACTGCTTTAGTGTTGCTGATTTTTTAAGCAACAAGTTAGTTTTTGCATATACGAGTTTGAGTGACTCTTGTACTCGTCAAATAAATATATTAATATTCTTTTGCCTTTCAAAAAAAAAATACTATTACTTTTTAGTGAAAGTATGGAAGGGTTCTTTTTATTTGAATGGTGCGAGAATCTAACCAAATGTTTTAAGAATAACCTGGTCCAGAAAAATAGTGCTTGAATTGGTCTTTTTGTTTTAACTAGTCTTTTTGAAAAATTGGTTTTATTTTCTTTGTTGGGTATTCTACCCCTTGCTGCTTTAGTGTTGCTGGTTTTTTAAGCAACAAGTTGGTTTTTGCATATACGGGTTTGAATACCTCTTGTACTCATCAAATAAATATATTAATATTCTTTTGCCTTTCAAAAAAAAAAATACTATTACTTTTTAGTTTTGGTTCTATGTTTAACAACAAATAAAAAAATAAATTATTTTAATTTTTGTATATATTTTTTCATCATTTATTGATTAAATAAAATTATTTCAATAGTTACTCCAATAATATAAAAATTTTTACGTAACTTTAAGTGAAAAAAAAAAAATTAAAGTACACTTATTTCAAATTAAAAGTAGAACTTCTTTATTATCTAGATCCGTCCCCTAACCTATATACCAATCAGCCCTTGAATAAAGGTAACGAAGCCGTAGCTTTTATTAGTCAGGCATGGCCTAACTATTTATGGAGGGACATAGAACCCGGGCTAACTAAAATTAAATGCTCCTCTAAAGAAAATTAGCTAGCGATGAAGATCAGATCACTTATTCCTTTTGTTAATTTAATAGTAACCAAAAAAAAATAGTTAGGTATAAATGTTCTCTTGTAACTTGTAACCTGCAAATAAATTATGAGATTTCACAAATTTAAAACGTCCCCACAATTAAAATATTTAAAATGATAATAAAAAATGTAAATACTTTTAATAAATTAACAAATAAAAAATATTCACTAAGGATATTCTAACAATTTCACAGACAATTCTAATTTTCAATTTTCTCTTAAATTATTATGAAAGTTGAAAGACACAAATGAATGAACCCATTAATGCTAGTAGAAGGACCTTAATGAACAATTTTAAAGTATAGGGATGTAAATGAATGAAAATACATGGTACAGGGACACCCATTTGGCTTTATCCCTAAAAATGGATGTAGAAAACATCTAATGAAAGAATATTCAGTGCTTTCTAGTAGGCATTTTATCTTGTAAAACATGGATCTCAATACCATCTCCTTTGACTCAATCTATTCTACCCTTAAATGCTATTGTTGAGCAGATAATAACACGGAGATGAATTAGCCAAGTTGTTCCATAGTTTTGGCAGTGTTGACGAATTTTGCACTTTTATCAAACCCCTCAAGTAGAAGAATTCGAACTGCTTCCACACCTTGTTGAAATGTAAAATCCAACTGCAAACGCATTTGAATCAAAGAATTTTAAGATGTATTGCCTTGTTAAAGGTTCACTGGCTGCTAGTTAAACTATTACATACCTCTTGACATTCTTGCTTTGTGAAGGGGCGAAGAACAAAGTTAGCAGCATCCATTTTTCCAGGAGGACGTCCAATGCCTAAATTTTGACAAAAAAAGAAAAATGAAAATATTTGGACATTAGGCTAGTGCTCTTGTTCAATTGATAACACAGTGCTATATGCAGCCTACCGATTCTTAAACGAGGAAAATCACGGCTTCCTTTAAAGTGATCAATGATATTTTTCATCCTGTAAGTAGAAGCAAAAGCATTAAATAATCAATCCAACATACCATATTCAATTTTTCTATCACTTGAAAAGCTGACAAACTCAAGGGGTATTTTTTAAGACCAGATTCCAAGATCAGCACTGGTATGTGCCCCGTGAGATGCTACATTAATGTCTGATAAAAAATGCCAAAGGTTACCAGGAAAACAACTAACACAAGGAGAAAGCATGTACCCATTATGTCCTCCATGTCCACCTTTTGGCAGTAGTCGCAATTTGGCAAAAGGCAAATCTAGGTCATCAAAAATCTGTAGAAGAAATTAGAAAGTTGGAGATGATGGAGAAAAATAGCATCATAGTGCAGAAAGAATATTACCACTAGTACTTGCTTCCAAGGAATCTTGTAATACGAAACAAGGGCACCAACCTTCAAAATGAAGCAAGAACTTTAAAATTTTCAATCAGGAGAAATCTCAGCTATTAAAAGATTTAGAGATCCTCCTAGATCAGATCACTTACAGACTCACCACTCAAATTCATAAAAGTTTGTGGCTTGGCAAGCATGATTGGAACATTTCCAATAAAACCTGCAAAACAAAAGCTAGTATCAGAACAATTACAACCTGAAAATTTATGATGTGAGATGAACAAGTTTTCAATCATCCTCATGACCCATTAAAAGTAGGAACAACTATATTGTTACAAGTACAATACATATAGCTAGAAGATAGCCAAAAAAAAAAAAAAAGTTAAAAAAAGGATGAAGTGGAAATTATCTGCACTGTTTTCCACTTCAATTATCTGTGTAAGGAAACCGAATCTATATTTCGCCTTAAAGTATCAATCCATAATCAGTTAAACAACAACAGTAAGACTTATACGTTTGTTGTATTTCGAGCTGCAATCTATCACTTATCATATCATGATTAAATTATGTTCTGAGCTTATAATTCTAAAAATTCAATATATAGACTTCATGTTCTTAGCTTAAGGGTCCTCTTCTCAACCCTTCAATATATTACATAGATTATATAACAGCGAAAAGACATAGAATGAAGAGAACCTTTTCCAAAGAGAGCTTTGAAGTTAACGGAGCTAATCGGTATCCCTTCAGCTTCAGCTATAGCGTCCACCATCTGGAATCCCACCTAAAAATTCAACAGTACCAACAAGGCTGATTAATTTCCAGGCAAGAAAAACGTAAAAAATAAATTAAAACAAGGAAGGAAAAACTGTGTTTTATACATTGTGGCGAGTGCCCTGGTATTTTTTCCCCGGGTTGCCAAGGCCGACAATCAGCCACGGCTGCGGAGGCGGTTTGGGCTTTAGCACTGGTTGAGCCTCATCTGTGGTGCCAGCGGTGGGAGAGGAACCCGCGGCCACAGAGATCCTGAATTGAGACATATTTGTTCTGTGAAAACTGTAAGAGGTAAATGAAGAATATGGGAATGGGGGGAGAAGGTGGCGGTGGGTAATCGTGTGGGGCAAGCGAATGCTAGCGATTGCAGAACCTAATTTCATGGTTTGAATTTTGACTTGCCAGGGTTTGCCAATATTGAATATCGAATGGGATGAAGGAAAAAGGAAA